TGAACCCCCCAAGTGCGATAGTGTGGTCCAGACTTTCAGATTGTCTATATATTCATCATATCCTGAAGAACCTTCAAAGAACCTTGAGAGAATAGCAGCTGCAGTGTTTTTTAATGTGCCACAGAGTGACAGCCTCCCTCCTCCCATCCATGATATCTGGAGGTTTTTCTCTCTTAGACCCCAGAAATACTGAGGGTGGAAAGCAGTATACCAGATAGATCCAAGATAAATGTTTACTTCCTCCAATAGTATAGCTTATGTGTACAAAGGCAAATGCTGGACAGTACACTGACACCACATAGACAAATGAAAGAGACAGGAACTTTAGAAAAGGGAAAAGAGACAGCCAGCAAGGACATGCTCCATTGTGTATGTTACAACTCAGGGAAGAGAAATGGCAGAAAACCAAATCCACATAAGAGTTTGACTACTGAAATATGTTTATGCGGAGGTGTCAACAATCTGTGATTGCCGACATAAAATGAAAATGCTCATATTTATATGGTACTTTTCATCCAGAGTCCCAAGGTACTTTATAAATTATAAATATGAATGCTCCTTATGCAATGTCCCTGATGGTCTCCATATACAAAATCTAGTTCCTAATGGCCAAAATCTCCCCCACCCCACCTCAACACTGAATATGTAAGCATTTTTATCAAATCACAATTTTTTGTCTTTAAAAGAGCTCTCTATATTGAAAAGCATACAATTTACACTATTTGTCTTCTAACATATGCTGCATTTCTCCTGTCCACCTCCCTTCCCCCACTAGCATAGAAAGTGAATTCAATTAGATTTAAGACAAAGAGTAATTGCATTGGAAAATAGAAAAAATATCTCATCCCAGAGTGATTAAGCTCTTCACCTTATATAGAGAGTTTAACTCTTTCAGGAAAATAGAACCCTGGGTAATAAATGAATACAGGCATTTGCTAAATCAGGTATACTGTTTTGAAACTAATTTCCCCAGTCATCAATGAACTCTTTACTTCAAGACAATAGGATACTCACTGTAAGGTATATAAGCAATATAAAGACTAAGTTAATTAAGGTTTTAAATTTTTTGTGTTTCATCTATTCTTATTTTCATAATATCTCAAAATCTGAAACTCTTGGACTCCAAAAAGTGAATTTAATCATCTGTTTTCTTAGAATTATTTTGTGTTTTGATATCTTGATTTTGATAACCACTTCTACATATTCAATGAGAACTGGTCCAAGTAGGACCTGCCTTGTCAGCAGCTTCTATAGTTCCTTGCATAGTTGATAATCATTCTGGAAATTTTGCAGAAAGATGATAAAGTACCATAATGTGACAGGTTCTTATTGAGGAAGTCCCAGAACTTTAGATGATCAGTAAGAGGTTACATACAGGACTTCCATTTGTATTACTACATTTTTGAGGTAGGACAGACTGTATCAATCACAGGAGGAACTCAAAGGGTAAAGGTTGGAACATCTGAATTCAAAAATCAGGTCAAGTATACAGGTAAAGGTGATAGTCCAGCCTGTGGGGGATAACTACTCAAGGAGGGGTTACCACAAACAGAAGAAGAGATCTTTCTGGGTCAGGGAAATAGGTTCTGGTGCCTTGAACTAAAAAATCTCCCTTCTTGGATTTTCCCTCACCGATATTATTCAGGCATTTCTGTCCATGTGGTTTGTAGGGGTTTTAAGTTTTTAAGTAATGGTTTTAAGTAAAACTGCCAACTTTTCTGAAGCTAGTCCTGTTTTAATACCTTAAAATGTTTCTTGTAATAGTAAAGTTCTGTAGATCCAATCCCATTTATTCCTGTTCGCTGTCTTTAATAACCAACAAAATGGGGACTACACATCTTTATGTCACATTTAGGAAAACTCAGGCAGCATGAGGCATGGGCTTGCTTTTGACATGAGTTTCTTAAAACAGTATGGATTTTTCTTTTAAGTAGAGGTCACACTGAACCAGATGTGTTTTTGATCATTGATGAGACCCTACTTTTAATTAGTTGATGTTGAAATAGGGAGGTAGCCCTAATTTTCGAAGGTAGAACAAGGAAATAAATATCAAATATGTCTTAGAAGTTTTTCTCTGTTTGTTTCACTCTATAATCTTGTTTTTGCCGTTCCTGAGTAGGAATAGTACTGTCTATAACTATTTATGAGGTCATTGATACTGTTCTTTGAGATATGCTGATGAAAGGCTCTATATAAACTAATCCCAATGTTAATATATCTAAATTTTTACCCACGTCTTACAACTCTGTTGTACATAGAACAGATTCATTTATTTATGATATGTCTTTCATCTGTTACTCTTAGCAAAATTTGTGTCATGATAAATACTTTAAAATAATTATACATGTTAACTAGGGATTAGAGAGACTGATTTATAGACTTGGAGTAGAGGAAAGAATGAAATAAAACCATGTCTCTTTGGGTCATGGAATCAAATAAGTTTAGAAGTGAAGTGAAATGTTTTTAGTTGAGTCAACAACAGGGTGGATCACATCAAAAGGAGCATCTATAATGAAGTAAAACAGGATTTTTTTTAACTTGGAAATGAGTGAGTAAGGAAAATTAATGGCTCTTCTAACTCCTTGGACAGAGTGGTCCTTTCAAGTTTGATGAAGGTCATTTTCAGGACAGTTTAAGAGAGGTTACAGTTCAACCTCCACTAGTATGACTTCAGAAAAGATGAGAATGGCTTGAGTTTCTGAAATTTCTGATTGTATTTTGTTATTATTAAAGCTGATAAAGGCAAGTAAGTACCTATATTCTGAATATTTTGCAATATTCAGGGATATTTTATATATTTCTCAAATCAATTAGAAACTATCACCTTTTCTAAAGATTGGAATGGAGAGGATACCAGCTAACCAAGTTACAGTGGAAATGTGACCGAGTGTAGTACAGCTGCTCATGTAAATCTTCACAACAGGATTCCAACAAAAACTCACCATTTAATTGCATAGTTCAAATGCCACTGAGTAGAAAATTTTAGGTAGATCAGAATATTAGCAGACTTAAAGTAAATATTATATATACATATATTGACAACATACACAATATTTTTGAAATATCAAAAAAGTTTGAAGGGAGCTTTTGTGTTCTCATCTCAATGTGTGCTATTACTTGTTTTTAGAACTTTGCAAGAATTCCTTTTATACTGTAGAGCTGTTTTTTTTTTTAAGCAACAACAACAACAATCTTGCTTCATTTTCATTTTTATTTTTGAGCTGTTTGCAACCCCCTTTTGAATAGTGAGAAACAATGCAATTAATTTTCTCCAGCGCAATCATGCATAGATTTAATAAGCATCCGAAGGTAGGATCCATCTGTAAAGTATGCGTTGCATGCTAAATTACTTCTCTTCTGTGGTTTTTTTTCTTTCCAAACCTTAATTAATTGAAGAAAAAAAATGTTTATTAAAGTGGGAACAGGCTGGGCTCTGGCTCTCTGCCTCTGGTTCAAAAGTTCATAGAATTCCCTGAAGGCTCATCTGAATGTGTATGTCTCCCTCTCACATCTTTCTTTCCCCGTCTCTAGAGTAGGGATGAATGCCTAGAAAAGGTATATAATTTTGTTCCCAGGATCAGTTTTAATAATCTTAACTTGAGTAAACTAACTTTTTTGTATATATAGATTTGCATATATTATGTATGTTTACATAAATGGTATAAACACGTAGATACATAAATGTATTATTTACCTATTTTCCTATCGAGTAGAATAAAAAATTGATACACTTTTAATGGCATCTTTAAACAGGATGTAGATGGAAAGCGGAAGTATAATTCTACAGGTGGACCTCAGACAGGAAATTAAAGGAATTATGTATGAAAATAAGCTAAGTTTTAATGGATCATTTTAGACCCAAAGAAAAAAATATTAAATCCATCCCAAGTAGAAAAATATTTAGTCATAAACAGAGAAATGGAAAAATACATAATAGGAAGTGACTTACGCTTGAGAGAGGCTTTAAAAACTGAAAGCATTTCCTGACCTGCAACAAGCTTTATGTGACCAAGTAGAAAACAGCAAGTTTATTGTAAAATAAAAGTATACATCAGAAATTTTTCAGTTATCTTAATTTCTTACCTAAGATGTCATGATCTTCCTTTTGTTTTTTCCAAATATTGCTTTTTTTCTCCTTAATATATACTACAATTTTTAGATCCTTATTTTTATAAGTAAATAGGCTATAGTTTTCATACAAATTACTAGTTTCTTTTTTACTTTAAAATAAGATTAGTTTTCTCCTTTAACTCAAGTGATATTTGCACAATCACCTCCAAATTTAGGAATCTGTAGAGTCAGAAAGCAGTGCCGAACTTGACCATGGTCTTGCCTGATTGAAGTCTGCTTCCCTTTGCCCCATTGCTTCTTGTAAAGCATAGTATTCACATAGGAGCCTAGTGGAGAACTTTCTACAGGTTGTTTCTCTTTCTCTTTGGACACTTGTACAGGAACCTAAAGCCACTGGTTCTGTTATTTTATCAGATAAAGTCATTTTATCTTTAAAAAATAGTTAAGTAGGGAAAACCTCAGCAGTGTGGAGAGCTGCTCAGTTTGGTATAGACACAGCCTCAGTCACGTCCATGCCTACCACCCTGTGTGAGTGTCAGATGAGCCATGGGACATTCCTGGAAAGAATCCGAGAACTCAGCATTCCATATTTTCCTCTCAGAGGTCCTGTTGCTACTGCATATTGACATGTACATATTTGGGCCATATTTGCATACTTGTAAATCAAATTACATAGAGGTGTCGCTGAAATAGCATCATCAAGTAACAATTATAACTGATGTCTTGGAAACTCACAGATTATTGTCTACTATGTAGGACACCTATATATGTGTACAACATAAGTCTGTACTTCCCACACCCAAAATTCTGTGACTTTTGGAAGACTCTCTCACTATCGCTTTCGAAACAGATTTCAGCTTAGACTTTTGTGTAAACCCTAAATTGAAGAACTGGGGGTTTCACGAATGACATGCATGTAAACAACATACCTTTGAAAGGAGGATGTGTGGGCCCTTTCTCCTATATGCTTATGTCTCTGTTGTCGTAGATTGGCGTCCTTTGTGAGCTATTCAGTGACATTTCAGAACCATTTCGCTCTGCAGAAAACCCGCAGTTGTGTTTCTTTAGCTGACACTGTGGCACTTGCACTCGAAATTGCTAGTTAGAAAAAAAAATTGTTGAGGCCGGTGGCTGTAATCAGCGTTGTTGCTGTCTGTTTCCTCAGACTAATAGCAGAGCGATCCGAGTCTGAGAGTTCAAACAGAGGTTATCTTTCCCAGGTAGCATCTCGTCCAACGAGAATTTGATTTTTTTCTATAGGACTTTACTCCATTAGATTAATGAAATTTCAATGAGAGCCTGGCGCCCCCTGAAGCTTTGTTAAGAAAACAAATGGTGATTCTGTAGGTGTGACAGCTTGCTTGGAGAGTTACGAGAAGGTGAATACATCCCCACAATCCAGGCAGCCTGGAACACATTGATCTCTATTTAAAGCACCAATCGGATTTTTGTTAATTATAAATGATTGATCTTCAGATTTTCCCTCTCCTCTTATATGTGTGGTTCCCCCTCCTTTCCCCACTACTAACTTCTTTGCATGCTGAGTGCAGAGCTTTTTGTTTAAAGGGACAATCATAGAGAGCAAATTATAGCAACACCCAGCAGCGATGCTATTGTGAGTGTCATTGTCACAGCGTTCACTGTTCAGCCGATGGAGGTGAGCCCTGGAGTAGATTTCAGATTAGCTCCATGTTTCCTCTTTACTTTACTCATTTCTAAAATAAAGAACTATCTTAACAAAAATAAAGCATTAGCATCATTAGGACACCACCATTATTTTGCTTTAAAATCGGAGTCGTTAGCCCTGCAAACCACACCCCCCACTATTAACTTTGAACCACAGTGTGTGCCTTGTACACACCAGGGTGTGATATGTGACCAGCCAGCCCCGTGTGAGACAACAGGGTGAGTGAAGGGAACATCTCTGATCCTAAATCTCAATTTATAGGCATTTAAGTTATTAATCTACCTTTTATCATCTTTGTGGAGTGTTTTTTTTTAAACAATGTTTAGAAGCAATGCCATATACTCAAAATCTGACACATGTATTATTCCTGCTATAATTGCTCACCACACATGGTTGTGAAGTGCCCAGAAAGATGTTTCCAGCTTCCTTGAGACCTATCTTTGGTGAAAATATCTGAGCATTAAATGTTTCTATTTATTGAATACAAGAGCACATAGTTGATTCTTGGTTATTTATAACATGTACACTATATAAAGAAGATAATTTATACAACTCTTAGGAAACATTTGTTTTTTAAAAAATCACAGCTTAAGGGCTACAGGTAATGGTAGATTACAGTGAAAATCCCATTGATTTCAACTTCTAAATTCAAGTATAGATTTTTATGAACATATTTTTCTTCAGTTTTAGAGTTTTAGACCCTGAAGTTTTAGGATATTTCTTTGCAAGTCAGAATAATGAACTTACCAGGTGATTTTTTTTCCTTTTAATTGCCTAGATAATCCATGCAATGCACAAAAGACTGCTCTAGGCCAAGAATCTTAAGGTAGTTTGTAGTTTGTAGTGACACTTTTCTACAAAATCCTTTAGATTTGAAGTATTGCCTCATTTCTTGAATGTCCCAAAATTGGCTCAACTTCTAGATGAGCTGCTATATCACTAATTGTTGGTGATAAACTCTCAATAGCAAAAGAGCAATATGTCTTTAAAAGAGCAGTGTAAGTGGGCAAGAACCTCATGTATAACACAGCATAATCTCCCACACTCCAAATTCTGTGGGTTTTGGAAGCTGCTCACTTTTGCCTTAACAGGTTCTAAGTCTGCAATGCTCATCTAAATACAAAAGGCCTTCTGACAGAACTTACCTATAAGGTAATTAATTAATGATCCTATAAGTACTCTTGGGAAAACTATATTTAAAGTGTAGATTTTGCAGTGTGGTATTTGTTGCCAGTATTCTTAAGTATTTTATCTCTTTATTATTACTTATTTCGTATTGTAATATTTTTAAATAAGCAAATATCACTAAGGCACATTTACAAGTAATTTTCACTATAACTTTTAAAATCCAATTTTTAACTAGTCAGGGGGAAAAATGTGCTTTTTTTTTTTTTTACCGACACTAGCCCAACAGAACAGTTGTTGATGCCAGTTTCTACACAAGTGACCAGTGACAACATTAAGAAATGGGTACTCATGATAAATTTGCCAATTTTTTTTCATAAAATGTTTCCAAAGGATCTTTGGAAATGTTTCATAAAACATTCCAAAATGTTTTAATTTTATTCCAGTGGGGTTTTGCTTTGTTTTGTTTTGAATAGGCTAACTAATGATTTTCATTAGTGTATTTGTAATTTATGTGATCTTAGTAGGTGCTACCAAGGTTAAATAATTTAAGGAAATAAACCCTTATCTGATATAAGATGGCTAATGAAGTATATTAGATACTTGCCCTATCGCTGTATGAAATGGATCTCCAAAGCTAACTACTGCTTTCTGCGGGAGCACAAATCTCTATATAAATATCCAAATGTAGCAAGATGTTGCAAATTTTTAAAGATATGCCATAAAAATAGATTAACACTAGTATTCCGTCCTGTTTAACTGAATTACAAAGGGATATCATGGGATTGCCAGTGACATTCACATAAATAAAAAATCAATTCTTAATGATGAGGCAGACTTGTTTTAGCGCATTACCCAGGTTAAATGGGAGCACACAAAGACATCAACCTCTATAAGACTAGTGGAATCATTGTATATTAATATGATTTAGGGAGCTACACACCTCGATGGAATAATTGTTATTATATCTATAGAGCCAGATGGCATTTGGTGTAAACAGCCATTGAGCACCTCAAACACAAGTGTGGCAGGTGATCTTTAAGGTGTGCTTGCATCCTGCTCACTCATCTTATCATTGGAATCTGCATTACTGTTTGCAAAATGTTTTGATTGCTACTACGCAGATTTTTCAGAATGGTCCTATTGTTCAGTAGGAATATAGAATATAGGATGTCCTTAGCAAGAGAATAGATGAGGCAGAATAGATGAGACTAGATGAGGCAGCTACCTGCATTCGTGTGGTTAGTTCTGTATTTTTTATAAGAAAGAGAACAGAGGGAATCATTTTTTTTTCCCAAACACCAGAGGCAACAAAAAATGGTGTGTTTAGAAATTTTTTAAATGATTTCACACATTTTCAGTCAAGTAGGAGTTAGTAATTACTATCATCAAAGTAAACCTATGAAGGAGGCCAAAAGGTATAAAAATGTGTACTTCCAGGGAAATCCAAGTTCTGAGCCAAAGTAGCTTTAATTTCTTATAAAATGTCTTTCTTTATTTGCAAGATTTAAGATTGACTTCTGCTAACTCTAATTATCCAATTAAAGAAGAGTCACTCATTTTTTTCAAAAAGATGTTTATTGGGCACCTATTATGTGCCAACTAATCTTTTAGCCACTGGGAATATTTCAGTGGAAAAGCACTGCCCTTATGAAGTTTATATTCCTTGAGAAAGGAGCAATAAATGGGAGGGGAGGGGAGGCAGGTGGGGCAGAGTAGGAGGGATGGGACAGAAATGAAATAAGGAAAGGAGGCAGAGTGTGCTAAGTTAGATTGTAGAAGTTTAAGACACCATTCTCCACCATCACCACACCCCCACACCCCCACCCTGCTTCTTAAAAAATGTAAAAGAGGTAATCTAGGAATAATAAAGAAGCTGGGAAAGATCTTGTTTACCTTCCAACTTCATCTATCTTGTTAAATTTCTAGGGAGTCGGTTGCTAACACACCTGCTGTTAAACCCTCAGCTCAGTTGCTGGGGTTAAACAGTTGGAATGAATTCATTGTAAGCTTAAATTTCCTTGGCTGCAATTAAATTTAATAACGTTACATAAATTTGGGGGGCTTGGTTTCTTTTTGTGATGATAGCATTAAAAAGCATATCATCTTGAATTATAAATAATTCTTAAATTGCCCCTTGCTCTACCTTATATAATCTATGTTTTTTGATTTCTAAATATCAAGAATATAAAACTAACCTCATATAGGGATCTTTATCTTAGTGGAATTAGATTTCCAAACATATAAAACAGATTTTCCAAGTGTGTGAATTATAGGTAGTGCCTCAAAATTGTGGAATCTCATAAATTAAACCCTTCTGTCCCCTAATGACAAAATTCATCTTAATCCAGAGACTATATCCCTACCTTACTCCATGGTACTATTGACTAACTCCTAGATTTTAAACTAATGTTAAATTCTTCACCAGAAGTAGTTTGTCATATAGCTACAGCTACCCTTTAGATTAAACATAGTACAAACTGTGAAATATTCCTTTAGTTTAGGTGAAAAGGTAAATTTCATTTTGTAATATGTCAGTCTTCATTCAGATTTATTTCTGATTAAAAATTGAGAATAAAAAATATAAATGCTTATGGCTGCATAGGAAATATACTGAAAAGATTTGATACAAAGTATTGAGAATGGTTACAGGTTATAACATAACATTAGGGATAATGTTTACTCTTTGTACTTTCCTTAAAGAACGTGTGTTCTTTCTGTAATCAAGAAATAACTCTCAGTATTATATTATGAAAGCTAAAGGAGCTTAAAAATGGACATTTTTACTTATCACAAAACCTCATAGCTGGCAAATACATGCAGATCAGTTTTGCAAATAATGGAAACTAGCAGAAATCAGTAAGCTGCAAGATTTAGATAATACCATGAAATTACTAATTTCATCTATTTTTATTCATTATAGTTGAAGAATATTTTGCAAAATTTGGCCAATATATACTTTTATTCCCAAGACCTCAAGCTTTAGAAAATAATAGGCTGGGATATTTCTATAGCAACAAGCCAGATATACCAAATTTAATAAGGACGCATGTTTTAAATTTCTGGCTTTTGAATTGGTGTTGGTCATAAGGATGAGTTTTTACGAATGTATAAGGAAAAAAAGAGGCTTGGAAACTTTATTTCTTTTAACAGTCAACATATTTAGCCTATCAGAATGCTTGAATGGATAAACATTCCTACTGTTTTAATTTTGAATATAGATTGTCTCGTGCTGATGGGAAGTATTGTTAATTTTAATAAAATTAACTTTATATTGTTATTTCAC